CCCTGCTTTAGGGTTATTCCGGGTTTTTTCCCCCTCCCCTTCCTTTAATTGTGAAATACGGCAACCCCTCCCTCCTCAGATAGCACCAAAGATGTCTTCCCCGTGGAAGAGAACAGGCTACAGCAGGTTTCACATCGGTGGAGCCAATTGGATTACGTGTTTCCACTTTTCTGCCTGCGATCTGGAGATATTAAATTAAGAGTCTCCTCTTCCCCCCACCCCACCCCCCACCCCCCAGTTTTCACGCAACAAATTAAGCCTCGGAGAGCGCCAGATGAAAATCTGGCACATCTTGAGCCAGCGATCCTCCAGGGACAAGGAAATGCAGAGACCCAGGCAAAAAGATGGAGGAGTCATCGGAAGGGCAAGATCAGGATTGAAAAACGGAAGGTCGCCCACCGAGGGAAAAAAAAGCTCACGACGAAGAGAAAAGGAATGGTAAGATTTGTATAAAAGTCCAAACTAAATTTGGCCCAACTTCTGGTAACGATATACCCAAACTGCTTTCATAACTTCCCCTGGCTAAAATCTAGTTCTCTGAAGCAGTGTCAACTCTGCGGGAGCGGTAATTCGCCTTTGGACTTTTAAATATTAAATATTAAATAAATATTTAATAAAATATTCATTAAATCAGTATCTATGGACACCCCAATGATAGTCTGGGCAAAGAATTTTGGATATTCAATTGATTTAGATAAATGGCAACAAGTTATGGGAAAGGAATTATAAATTAACAATGTCCACTGCATATAAAGAAAATCAATATAAAATGCTTTACAGATGGCATATGCCCCCTGAGAAACTGGCAAAAATGTTTAAAGATAAATCAGCTAAGTGTTGGAAATGTCACCAGTTACCAGGATCTTATTACCATATGTGGTGGACATGTCAAGAGCCGAGGTGGCGCAGTGGTTAGAGTGCTGTACTGCAGCTAATTCAGCTGACTGCTAGTTCAGCAGATCAAATCTCAAGGTTGACTCAGCCTTCCATCCTTCCGAGGTGGGTAAAATGAGGACCCAGATTGTTGGGGGCAATATGCTATTTAGTATAATCTCAATTGTTGTAAGTTGCCCAGACTCCTCAGAGAGTGGGTGGCATAGAAATATGATTAATAATAATTAATAATAATAATAATGCCCAGAAGCTAAAAACTATTGGAATAAAATAAAGACATGGTTGGAAAAAATGATACAACAACGTATTGATTTAAAACCAGAACTGTTCCTACTGGGTATCCTCCCAGAAAAAAATTGTAAAGAAAATAGTTATTTGATTATACATGTAATAACAGCTGCAAGGATTGTTTTTGCACAAAATTGGAAAGCAGAGAAAATACCTTCAGAAGGAGAAGTAATTAAAAAAATTCTAGATTGTGCAGAAACGAATAGATTAACTTTGATGATTAAAGAAAGAGGGGATTCAGAATATTTTAAGATATGGGACCAATTTTATTATTGGTTAGGAAAGAGATATAGATAAGTAAATCAATAGTTATACAAAAAATGGCATGATTAGAATATTGTACTTTTGGAGATATGTTGTAATAGATTGGGTGATAATGAAGACAGAAGCATCTGCAAAAAGAAGACGTTATAGAGGAAACACCGAGATGTCGCACGGAAAAAATGAATGATGTATTAAATGTTTGTTTGTGTATAAAATAAAAAACTTTTTCAAAAAAAAAATATCTATGGACATCCGTCTCTCGGGCGAGACTCTGGGTGGCTAACCAGAGGTGGCATTCAGCCGGTTCGGGCGAATCGGTAGGGGCTACCAGCCCGGCTGCAATCCCGTCCTTTATCGCTGTGTTTTTGATGTCGCACGCATGTGTGGACGGTGCGCGTGAATGAATTGCCGTGTTCTGTGATGCTGCACACATGCGCAGTTGGTGGGCACCCATGCATGCACGCTCACATGTCCAGTGCTGGGAGAACTGGTATTAACAGTAAGTGAATCTCAACTTTGTGGCCAACAATACAGGAACAACAGTGCAAACAATGGATGGTGGGTTTTTTTCTCCTTGAAGACGTTTCGCTTCTCGTCCACGAAGCTGTCAGCCCCACAAGCCGCTGGGCTGTCATTCCAGTGGGAAGGGGTGCTAACAGACCATGCCGCCTCGCATCCCGAACCTGCAACGCTTCCAATGACGCCGCCTGCCTTTCCCCTTCTGTCTTCCCACCGTTTCCAGGATCTCCATGTTCTCCGGGCCCGTCGGACGAACTGCCGCCCCTCAACTGAGAGGCGGATGGAGCCACGCCTGTGCGGATACCGTTTCGGCCGCCTTAATGATCATTAATGACAGCTTCCCGAGATCGCAAGCCCTAGATTAATTGAACTCATTGACTGACCGGGGCAACGGCGGAAACCCACCAATCACCACAGGGGTATGGGGTGGAGGTGGAGGGTGGGTGGATGGGCGGGGCACAAAGAGTATAAAACCGGTGATGGGAGCACGATAGAATCGAGCTGACAATACTTCACAAAAACGCTGGGTGATTGTTGGAACGTGCCGAATCCTGGAAGATAAACCTTATTACAGCATCTACCGTGTGGTCTGGTGTTTGCTTCTACATCCTGATTCGGAACCTGACAGAAGCTTCTTCAGTTCAGCTTATCATGCAGGAAACTTCCGCAGAAGCAGCAGAAGGGGAAAAAAAAACAACCCAAGGAAGTCCAGTTGCCTTTTGAAGAAGCGCCTTTGGGACAAGCAAGACCTGGACAATTGAGAATCTCAATTGAAGGCAGACAACGGTATCAACGGACATGAAGATACAACATTAAGAAGGCAGTTCTTAAAATCCCTCGGGTGGCCCATTTTACACCGTTGTTCAACGAAGTGCACCCTTTGACAATTTGCTTCCAGGTCCAATTCAAGGTTATTGTTGTGACCCAGGCCCAAGTAGGTATTATCAGACGCAATCAGTTCGAAAACAAACAGGTTTTATTAGAACAGCTGAGAATTAACTCATTCTCAGCGTAGTGCAAACGAATTCAAAACAAATTCTTCATAACACAAATTCTTCAGCCTTATCGCCGACCTTGGTCTAATTAGGCAACCTGCCAAAGGCTTCTCTTGGCAAAAGTTCAGAAGCAGAAGACACCGACAAGAAATAAATGCAGCAAGACAAGAAACAAATCTATCAACGTTGTTTTCCGACAAAAAGGCCAAGAGCCGTTGCTGGTCTTTTAAGCCTTATGGGAGGGGCCAATCATCTCTTGGCCTTACTCCTGAGTCGTCCTTTTTGCTGTAGCTGCTCTTTCCTTCTGGCATCTCTTCTCATATGTGCACTAGGAACAGGCTCCTCCTGTTCCTCTGCCTCTCTACTGTCAGCTTCTGGAGGCTCCGGAGTCTGCACCTCACTCCCCGATGGCCCTGGCCCCATCTCTGCCTCCGATGCAGAGCCCTCATCCGGGCCTTCCCCAGCCTCCAGGACTGGCCCCTGTTCTTCCTCAGCCTCCTCGCTGTCTGACTCCGCTACCAGCTCCGCAGGCTGCAGGCAGACCACAACAGTTATTATCTTTAAAGCCCTTCGTGGCAGGGGTGCAAGTTATCTCAGGAACCATCTCACCTCGATAGGACTAGCTTGCCCTATCCGTGCTAACAGAAGGCGCATCTGTGAATTCCTGTCAATCAAGGAATTCCGGCTGGCAGGGATCAGGGGAAGAGTCTTTTCTGCTGTGGCTCCCGCCCTATGGAACATTGTGCCCCTGAGGTGAGATCTGCACCCACTCTTTTGACCTTGAAGGCAGGACAAGAAGCAATGGATGGAAACTGATCAAGGAGAGAAGCAACCTGGAATTAAGGAGAAACTTCCTAACAGTGAGGACAATTAATCAGTGGAACAGCTCGCCACCAGAAGTTGTGAATGCTCCAACACTGGAGTTTTTTACGAGGAGAAATTATTTAGGGTTTCTTGCCTAAGCAAGGGGTTGGATTAGAAGGCCTCCAACTCCGTTATTCTGTTATTCAATCAATCAATGAAGTAGAAGATTGTAAGATGAACAAAGGAGGTTGACACATGCCATTCTGGCGATCATAATTTCTTTTTTTTTTTGGTACAGCTAGTCCTCGATTTACAACAGTTCGTTTAGTGACCGTTCAGAGTTACAGCGGCACTGAAAAATGTGACATATGACCGTTTTTCATAGTTACGGCCTTTGCAGCATCATGCCCATGGCCATGTGATCAAAATTTGGACGCTTGGTAACTGGTTCGTATTTATGACGGTTGCAGCGTCCTGGGGTCATTTGATCACCTTTTGAGACCTTCTGATTGCTTTTCACACTTAATGGCGGTTGCAACATCCCCATGACCACGTGATCAGAATTTGGACGCATGGCAACTGACTCATACATACGGACAGTTGCAGTGTCGCGGGGTCATGTGATCCCTGTTATGACGTTCTGAGCGGCCAGTCAATGAGGAAGCCAGATTCACTTAACAACCGTGTTAGTAACTTAACAACTGCAGCGACTCACTTAACAAATGCAGCAAGAAAAGTCGTAAAGTGAGGCAAAACTAGCTTAACAAATGTCTCGCTTAACGACATAATTTTGAGCTCAATTGCGGTCATAAGGCAAGGACTTCCTGTACTTTCTATAAAAAGGTAATTCCTGGAATTGTCTCGCTTTCTACCTGAATCCACGGCCATCCATCCCAATCTTAGGAAAGGCAGGGATGTGCTGACAATTTAGAATAGAATAGAATAGAATAGAATAGAATAGAATAGAATAGAATAGAATAGAATAGAATAGAATAGAATAGAATAGAATAGAATAGAATAGAATAACAAGAGTTGGAAGGGACCTTGGAGGTCTTCTAGTCCAACCTCGTGCTAAGGCAGGAACCCTACACCACTTCAGACAAATGGTTATCCAACATCTTAAAAACTTCCAGTGTTGGAGCATTTAACAACTTCTGGTGGCAAGCTGTTCCACTGGTTAATTGTTCTAACTGTCAGGAAATTTCTCCTTGGTTCTAAGTTGCTTCCCTCCTTGGTTAGTTTCCACCCATTGCTTCTTGTCCTGCCTTCAGGGGCTTTGGAGAATAGCTTGACTCCCTCAATTTAAGTTTCTCCTGTGAAGTCTGGAGAGAAAGCAGAAAGGAAAAGTGGAGTTGAGGCCCATGGTGTAAACGGGTCTTGAAGTGCAGACAGAAAACAAGGAGACGTAATCATTGCTGGCACTGCCCGCTGATGTAGTGGCTCTCGAGGACAAAGGAACATGTCTGCAGATTTTAAAAATTTTGTGTATGAGACTGCTTCTTGTTTACCTTAAGGGGGATTGGGACTCTGGCCATTTCGGATTCCGTCTTCCAAGAGTGACAATTTGACCGCACGTCATTGTTTTCCGTAGCTTTAATTACAGTCTCCAAATGCATTCGCGTCTGGCCAACCCTTCGTTTGGGGATTTAAAGAAAACAAACGTAGGGCTACAACAAAAGTATATAAACCTAAAGCGATGCTGGATGGGGCTTTTCAAGGATAATCCCTTCCAGAACAGAATTAAAACAAGATTAACAAAAACAGGATGCTCCCAAAAAGAAACACCGTGTTGAGTAAATAAGAAATGGAGCCAGAGAGTCACAGAAAGTAATTACGCTGAACTGTAAAAAAAAAAAAAAAAAATCAACGACAGCACACTCCAAAATGGAAGCCAGCAAAGGAAGCATACAATCCAATTTAACAAAATTAACAGCCTGAAAATCAACTATGCTGAAAAGAATATACAGCTAGTTCTTGACGTACAATGTTTCACTTAGTGACTGTTCAAAGTTACAGCAACACTAAAAAAAAAATGACTTATCGCCGTTTTTCACAATTACAACTGTGGCAGGATTACTGAGGTCCTGTGATCAAAATTTAGACACTTGGCATCTGGTATATACTGGGAATAGAGTAGAGTAGAGTAGAGTAGAGTAGAGTAGAGTAGAGTAGAGTAGAGTAGAAAAGAGTAGAGTATAGAGTAGAGTAGAATAGAAAAGAATAGAGTAGAATAGAATAGAGTAGAGTAGAATAGAGTAGAAAAGAGTAGAATAGAAAGGAGTAGAATAGAATAGAATAGAATAGAATAGAATAGAATAGAATAGAATAGAATAGAATAGAATAGAATAGAATAGAATACCATCTCAGACAAGTGACTTTCCAATCTCTTGTTAAAAATCTCCAGTGAAGCGCCCACAACTTCTGGAGGCAAGTTGTTCCACGGGTTAATTGTCCTCACTGTTAGGAAGTTCCTCCTTAATTCCAGGTTCCTTCTCTCTTTGATCAGTTTCGAACCATTATCTCTTGTCTTGCCCTCTGGAGAATAATTTGACCCCCCTCTTCTTTGTGGCAGCCCCTCAAAGACTGAAATACTGCTTTCATGTCAGTCCTAATTCTTCTTTTTAGACTAGCCAGACCCAAAATCTGCAGCCATTCTTTGTATGGTTTAGTCTCCAGGCTTTTAGAATAGAATAAAAGAGTTGGAAGGGACCTTGGAGGTCTTCTAGTCCAACCCCTTACCGAGGCAGGAAACCCTACACCACTTCAGACAAATGGTTATCCAACATCTTCTTAAGAATTTCCAGTGTTGGAGCATTCACAACTTTTGGAGGCAAGTTGTTCCACTTATTAATTGTTCTAACTGTCAGGAAATTTCTCCTTAGTTCTAAATTGCTTCTCTCCTAGATTAGTTTCCACCCATTGCTTCTTGTTCTACCCTCAGGTGCTTTGGAGAATAGCTTGACTCCCTCTTCTTTGTGGCAGCCCCTGAGATATTGGAAGACTGCTATCATGTCTCCCCTGGTCCTTCTTTTCATTAAACTAGACATACCCAATCCCTCCAACCGTTCTTCATATGTTTCAGCCTCCAGTTCCTTAATCCTCTTTGTGGCTCTTCTCTGCACTCTTTCTAGAGTCTCCACATCTTTTTTACATCGTGGCGACCAAAACTGGATGCAGGATTCCAAGTGTGGCCTTACCAAGGCCTTATAAAGTGGTATTAACACTTCACGTGATCTTGATTCTATCCCTTTGATCATCTTATCCTTGACTTACAATCACAGTTGAGCCCCAATTTTCTGTTGCTAAACGAGAGAGCAGTTAAGTGAATTTTGTCCCATTTTACGACCACAGTTGTTAAGTGAATCACTGGAGCTGTTAAGTTAGTAAGACGGTTGTTAAGTGAATCTGCCTTCCCCCTTGACTTTGCTTGGAAAAGGTGACCCCGGGACACTTCAACCATCATAAATAACCAAGGGGCTCAGCAGACTGATAGCATTGTGATTAACACCAGCTGTCTGCAATTACTGTAAGTTCGAATCTCGCCAGGCTCAAGGTTGACTCAGCCTTCCATCCTTTCTAAGGTAGGTGAAATGAGGACCCAGTTTGTGGGGGCAATAAGCTGACTTTGTATAAAAATATACAAAAGTATGAAGGCTATTGCTTAACGCACTGTAAGACGCCCTGAGTCTCCGGAGAAGGGCGGCATATAAATCAAATTAAAAAAAAAAAATTGCCAAGCATCTGAATTCTGATCAGAGGATCGTGGGGAAGCTGCAATGGTTGTTAAGTGTTGAAAACAGTCATGTCCCTTTTTTCAGTACGGTCACTATATGAAGCGTTGTAAGTCAAGGAGTACTTGTATTTATGTGAAGTCCAGTATCCCGGGGTTCGTGTGATCATCTTTTGGGACCTCGCTTAACGACCGTGTTACTATCTTAATAACTGCAGTGGTTCACTTAACAACAGTGGCAGGATGGAGCAAGATGGAGCAAAACTCACTTAACAACTGTCTTGCTTAGCAATGAGACAATTGGCTCGATTTAATGAAGAGAAGGACTAAGGGAGACATGATAGCAGTCTTCCAATATCTCAGAGGCTGCCCCAAAGAAGAGGGAGGCAAACTATTCTCCAAAGCAGGGGTCCCCAACCTTTCGGACCTCAGGGACCACTAAATTCATAATTTTAAATCCTGGGGACCACTAATATGATCTGCCTAATGAATGGCTGGGTGGGCGTGGCTAGGTGGTCATGTGACTGGACAGGTGTGGCCAACTTGATGTCACTCACATGACATCGCTGGCCTCTACTCGTCCCTCCCCTCCCAGCCACTCCTCGTCTGCCTTCCTGGGTCCTTATGGCCCCAGCAGGAAATAGTTGTTGGAGTTAAGCAGCCACCACGAGAAAGAGTTGGCAAAACAGCTCAGTTCAAATTGGATCTGACCGAGAAGGAGGCTCAGCAGAAGCACCTCACTGAGGACTAGGAGCATAGGCTTTCCAAGCAGAGGGAAGACCTGCGGGAATGCAAGGCCAGGTACCGGCGGGCCTGGAGGCTCAGCGGGCTGAGATGGTCAGCCAGTTCCAGGCCATGAGGCAGTCCCACTGGAACAAGGCCTCCGGCTCTTCGCCACTAGTGACGCTTCCCTCCAGCCTTCGCCCAAAGCCCCACACCAGGAGGCTGAAGCAGACCCCAAGTCGGAATTTCTGCCCCCTCTGACCCACACAAAAAGACCCCAAAGGGGGAGACTTTCTGCAGCAACACAAACGCTCATTGCACGTTGTTAGGATATGGTTTGAGCCTAACAAGTTGTCCAGGCAATATATGTGTACTGTAACTTGAATATGAATATGTATAGTGTGACTTTAAGGCTTTACTGCTGAATCATTGTAATGCTGAGTCATGCTGTAATTAGTTGTACACCTATTTAAGAAAGGTACTGTAACGTATTCAGTTGATGATATGCTACCATTGTCTGTGGAGTTGCTACCATTGTGCTATCATCGTTGGATGGATCTGCTACCATCGTGGTTTGTGAACCAGAGTGAGTTTGTTATTCTAACCAACTACTGTTTGTGTGGTAAGAAGTGTGTATCCGGCCCAAGGGCCGTAGTTTGAGGACCCCTGATTTAGTGCAATATAAAAATGCAAATAATTTTTCTGCGGACCACCAGTTGGTGACGGCTGCTCCAAAGCACCTGAGGGCAGGACAAGAAGCAATGGATGGAAACTAATCAAGGAGAGAAGCAACTTAGAACTAAAGAGAAAATTCCTGACAGTGAGAACAATTAACCAGTGGAACAACTTGCCACCAGAAGTTGTGAATGCTCCAACACTGGAAGTTTTTAAGAAGATGTTGAATAACCATTTGTCTGAAACGGTGTAGGGTTTCCTGCCTGAGCAGGGGGTTGGACTAGAAGACCTCCAAGGTCCCTTCCACCTCTGTTGTTCTGTTATTCTGCTGACTGTGGTCGTAAATCGAGGTCTACGTGTCACGTGAAAAGGGGGGAAAGCTACAGACCAAATTCCATTCGTCTTTTTCTTAAAAAAAAAAGAAAGAAACAACACTAAGGCAGAACATCATGTGTTGGGTCTCCCAAAAAAAAAGGACTGTTCCGTGATACTCACAGCCAAGAAGGAGATACTGGTAGCACTGCACGGAATCTGCGGCTAGGAGCAGAGGGTGATTCAAGTTAAAAGGCGGCTGCAGTTCATTCCACTGGGGAGTTCTACGGAAACAACACAAGAATATTAATATTTAAGCTGGAAGAGAACAACGGGGAGGGGGAGGGTAAGGGGGGAAATCAGCATCTGTGTCATCACGTCCAATTATTTATGCAAGAGAATACCGTGTTTCTAATTATTTAAAGTCACTTGTTCCGAGCGTGGAATATTTCGAGACAGATGGGGGAAAAGGGGTAACGGGGTCTTCAAAATTCTGTGTTTTTTTTCTAAAAGGACCTGTGCAAAATGTTAACTCGCAGGGAGATACACGGGCTATTCTTGACACTTTTTGTGGTTTTTTTTGTGAAAAAGGGACCATCTTGGATAAAAACCTCCTTCCGTGCCGGACAAATTGTCCTTCTAGCTCAACATTACTTGTTTTTGAGCATTTGAGGGCTTCCTTCAGGTGGCTGCTCCCATTGTTCGCTGATTTACAGATTACAGATTATGGAAGGGACCTTATAGGTCATCTAGTCCAACCCCCTGTCCAAGCAGACCCTACACCACCATTTTTTTTTTGTTCAAGTAGAGACTCCGGAACCGAACCTAGAACTTTTTGCAGACCAAGAAGGGCCTTGAGCATTGCCAGAGAACCTTCTTCCTTCCAGGAAGACCAAGAAACACTGACAAGGCAAGCCTGGAATATAAATTGAGAGCAAACCACATTCCTTACTAACACTGATGATGTTACCTAATTGGGTAATGAAACGTCTGCAAGAAAGCAACCAAGCTCAGAGAGCCATGACAAGAACTTCATCTGATGCAGACAGCAATATCAACCTGAGAGTGTGATGTGATCTCTTTTCCTTGCAGCAAGAAACAGGATATAAGAAGTCCTCGATTTACGACCATTCATTTAATGGCTGCTGAAAAAAATGACTTATGGCTGTTTTTCACACTTATGACTGTTGCAGTGTCCCCACAGTCATCTGACCAAAATTCAGGCGCTTGGCAACTGTTACGTATTTATGACGGTTGCACTGTTCCAGGGTCATGTGACAAGTCAAGTTAATGGGGGAGACCGGATTCACTTAAGGACCAATAAATAGATAGACAGATAGATAGATTATCATCTATAGATAGACAGACAGACAGACAGACAGACAGACAGACGATAGATAGATAGATAGATAGATAGATAGATAGATAGATAGATAGATAGATAGATAGATAGATAGATAATCATCTATCTATAGATAGATAGATGATAGATAGATAGATAGATAGATAGATAGATAGATAGATAGATACAGTAGATAGATAGATCATATATATAGATAGATACAGTAGATAGATAGATGATAGATAGATAGATAGATAGATAGATAGATAGATAGATAGATAGATAGATACAGTAGGTAGGTAGGTAGGTAGGTAGGTAGATAGATGGATGGATGGATGGATGGACAGATAGAGAGACATGGCTTCCTTGGTGCTCTCTGAGTTTGGTTGTTTTCTTGCAGATGTTTAATTACCCAACTAAGTAACTTCATCGGTGCTATACGTCTATGGAAATTCTCAGTCATCCAAGTCACGGTCGTCCCAAAGCTGCTTCTTCAAAGGGCACCTGGACTTCCTTTGTTTTTTCTTTGAAGACGTTTCACTTCCCATCACGCCTACACTTCCGACGACTTCAGTCAGGATTGCAGGATGCAAAAACAAGAGACGGGATGAAAATTGGACCATTTGACTGAATTATCTCTGGGCGAAATGTGTCGCCAGGCGTCCCAGAGTCTTCTTTTCCGTAGATTTATACTCCCTCTGGAGTTTGGTAGCACCATCAACCGCACCCAAGACGCCTGAAACTCGGTCAAAGAGAAACTCAACATGAAAATAGGAACGTCGGAAGAAGAGAACCGGGGGGGGGGGGGAGGGCTACCTGACGAGGGTCCAGCTGGCCCGTGGGCAGGTCATCATTTCCAGTTGGGTGTCATCGCTGATCTTAGCGGTGGTGCTGAGAGGTCGGGGTTCCAGGACGTGCTCCACCAAAGTCCCATAGCAGCTGATGATGTACAAGGACTCGACAAGGAACTGCTTGGATTGATCTGCAGGGGAACGAGAAGACGGAAGGTTGACGGCTAGTCTTTGACTTACAACGTGGTAGTATGTATGTATGTATGTATGTATGTATGTATGTATGTATTTATTTATTTATTTATTTATTTATTTATTTATTATTTATTTATTATTTATTATTTATTTATGTATGTATGTATGTATGTATGTATGTATGTATTCAATTTATATGCTGCCCTTTTCCGGAGACTCAGGGCGGCTTACAATGCGTCAAGCAATAGCCTTCATACTTTTGTATATACCTGCTTAGTAGGGCTTTTTGGCCTCCCCCAAGCGGTGTTTTTTTATACAAAGTCAGCTTATTGCCCCCACAAACGGGTCCTCATTTTACCTACCTCGGAAGGATGGAAGGCTGAGTCAACCTTGAGCCTGGTGAGATTCGAACTCGCAGTAATTGCAGGCAGCTGGCAGCTAAATACTACTTTAACAGTAGTTTAGTCCACTACACCACCAGGCTCCTATGGTAGTGAAAACCCGGGGCTAGCCACATTTCGAAGCCGCGCACAGGTGTGTAAGCGCTCACGTTTTTGGTGCGCGGTGAACCGGTGGTAAAATTATATGAAATCCACCGCTGCTTACAAACCATTCATTGGAAGGCCCAACGGCATTGAAAAAATTGATTGATGAGTGTTTGTCGCACTTACGACCGTTGCAGCATCCCAGGGTCACGTGTTCGAAATACTCATATTTATGACGGTCGCAGTGTCCCCGGAGGCAGTGGTGAAATCCACATTTTTTTTAAACTACCGGTTCTGTGGGCGTGGCTTGGTGGGCGTGGTGTGGCTTGGCTTGGTGGGTGGCAGGCGAAGGATACTTTACAATCCCCAGTCCTTCCCCACTCCTGGGGGAAGGATATTGCAAAATCTCCATTCCCATCCCACTCCTGGGGGAAGGATACTGCAAAATCCCCATTCCCTTCCCACTCCTGGGGGAAGGATACTGCAAAATCCCCATTCCCTCCCCACTCCTGGGGAAAGGATATTGCAAAATCCCCATTCCCTCCCCACTCCTGGGGGAAGGATACTGCAAAATCCCCATTCCCTCCCCACTCCTGGGGAAAGGATATTGCAAAATCCCCATTCCCTCCCCACTCCTGGGGAAAGGATATTGCAAAATCCCCATTCCCTCCCCACTCCTGGGGGAAGGATACTGCAAAATCCCTATTCCCTCCCCACTCCTGGGGAAAGGATATTGCAAAATCCCCATTCCCTCCCACTCTGGGGGAAGGATACTGCAAAATCCCCATTCCCTCCCCACTCCTGGGGAAAGGATATTGCAAAATCCCCATTCCCTCCCCACTCCTGGGGGAAGGATACTGCAAAATCCCCATTCCCTCCCCACTCCTGGGGGAAGGATACTGCAAAATCCCCATTCCCTCCCCACTCCTGGGGGAAGGATACTGCAAAATCCCCATTCCCTCCCCACTCCTGGGGAAAGGATATTGCAAAATCCCTATTCCCTCCCCACTCCTGGGGAAAGGATATTGCAAAATCCCCATTCCCTCCCCACTCCTGGGGGAAGGATACTGCAAAATCCCCATTCCCTCCCCACTCCTGGGGAAAGGATATTGCAAAATCCCCATTCCCTCCCCACTCTGGGGGAAGGATACTGCAAAATCCCTATTCCCTCCCCACTCCTGGGGAAAGGATATTGCAAAATCCCCATTCCCTCCCCACTCCTGGGGGAAGGATACTGCAAAATCCCCATTCCCTCCCCACTCCTGGGGGAAGGATACTGCAAAATCCCCATTCCCTCCCCACTCCTGGGGAAGGATACTGCAAAATCCCCATTCCCTCCCCACTCTGGGGCCAGCCAGAGGTGGTATTTGCCAGTTCTCCAAACTGCTCAAAATTTCTGCTACCGGTTCTCCAGAACCTGCTGGATTTCACTCCTGCCTATGGGTCACGCGCTCCCCTTTTGCGACATTCTGACAAGCAAAGTCAATGGGGAAGGCAGATTCACTTAACAACCGGGTGACTAACTTAACAACTGCAGTGATTCACTTAACAACCGTGGCAAGGAAGGTCGTAAAATGGGGCGGAACTGACTTAGCAACTGTCCCGCTTAGCAGAAGACATTTGGGGGCTCAATTGTGGTCGTAAGTCGAGGACTCCCTGCAGTTCAGGCTTTCAAAAGTCAGCATTTCCACTCTGCCCTGTGTGCCAATTGATCCCTTTTTGCCTGCCCAGCGCTTCCTATCACTCAGCATCCCGCGGACGCCTTGCACGTCAATTTTATTTATTTACATAAATACAAAAATCTATCAGCACGACGACTAATACTACCGCTCTTCTCGGGAAGGTGAATCGCTGAGAAATGATGCGCTATTTTTGGAATTTCCCAGAAAAAAAAAAAAAAATGCAATCCGGAATACATTAACCTTGGATTCTTTTACAAAACGTTCCTGCGTTTATACTCTTGAATTTCTCGTGCCTCGGTTTCGCTGGCCACTAGCCAGGCAGCGCTTCAGCTTTGACTATCCCTCGCTTCAAAGGGCTCAAATTCACTGGACTATTGCAACGCTCTCTACATGGGGCTCCCCTTGAGGAGCACTCGGAGGCTCCAACTGGCGCAGAGTGCGGCCCGCGCGGGTGGTGATGGGAGCGACGTGGCGCTCCCATGTAACGCCTCTCCTGCGCGAGCTGCACTGGCTCCCGGTGGTCTTCCGAGTGCGCTTCAAGGTTTTGGTCATCACCTTTAGAGCGCTCCATGGCTTAGGACCTGGTTATCTACGGGACCGCCTGCTACCACCAATAGCCTCCCACCGGCCAGGACGCTCCCATAGAGAGGGGCTCCTCCGGGTGCCGTCGGCCAAACAATGTCGACTGGCGGCCCCCAGGGGGAGAGCCTTCTCTGTGGGGGCACCTACAATCTGGAACGAGCTCCCCCCGCGAGATACGGAGGATTCCGGATCTGCGTACCTTCCGCCGCGCGCTTAAGACGTTCCTATTCCATCAAGCTGGCCTGACCTAAACTTTTCCTCTTTTAAATGGGAATTTTAAATTCGGTTTTAAATTGGGGTTTTAAAATGGTTCAGCCAAATTTATTTAATTTGTTTTATCTCTATTTTAAATTTTGTATTTATATGTTTTATTTTATGGCTGTTCACCGCCCTGAGTCCTTCGGGAGTAGGGCGGTATACAAATTTAATAAAATGAAAATGAAAATGAAAAATCGGGGGGAGCGGGTATTTATTTATTTATTTATTCATTCAACTCGGAAGCGGTTTTTTATTTATTTCTGACAATTTATTATGGCCACCCTAAACCCACTCTCAGTGATTCCAGGTGGTGTATGAGAATAAAATCCCCAATATGTGTACTGCAACCAATTCTGGTCACCACATTCGGAAAAAGTTGAGAGAAGAAAAGTTGAGTCCCTTTTTTTCAGTGCCGTCGTAATTTTGAGCCGTTCCTAAATGAACCGTTGCAAGTCAAGGGCTACCCATAAAAGAACAAAACCCACCCTACACCAATGGCAACAACAATCGAATGATCCGTTCGATGGGCACCACCACTCTGGGGTCCTCGGGTCCATTGACAAAAGCAGGGCCTTGTGAAAAAGTGTCAAAGTGGGGAACAACCTTATCACTGGACACAATATTCCAAGGCGTGGTCTTACTAGTGCAGTATAAAAGCAGTTTTATCACTTCTTGTGATCTTGAGGCTATCTGTTATGCCCCCGCTACGGAACCCAAAGAACGCAGCGCACGCAAAGTCCGTTCAGCCCTTAGTTTACTAAATAAACCAGTCTTTTACAACAACGGCTGTTAATTAATTGCATTAACAGCCGCCAAGAATTGAAAGAATAATAACTGAAAGCTTACTGTGGTTGGCAGAATGCCCAGAAGCAATTTGCAGGAAGCTGATAAGATAAGCAAGACAAGACACGAAGGTATGTGAACGAAGTTGTTCCCTGCAAATTGCTTCAGTCGGCGTTCCTCCTTAAATAGGCTAAGGGAGTGGCCAATTAGCCCCAAGCCTTACTCTCGAGGAGACCTCCTCCTGAGGAGCCACTCCTGCCTTTTGGCAGCTCTGCGCGCCCGTGCATCGAGAAGAGCCTCCTCCTCTTCGTCCTCTTCACTTATGGAGGTTCTGAAGGCCCTGGCTGAATCCCTGCCTCTGGCACCACATTTTCTCCAGCCTCCTCACTGTCCGACTCGAGTGCCAGCTGCACAGGCTGCTGGTGCAGCACCACACCAGCCTCCTCGCTGTCGGAATCAGCTACTAGCTGCACAGGCGCTTACGGGCCACAACACTAAAAAAAGAGCCTTGGTAATACAGTGGTCTAAAGCACCCTGTTATTAAGACCAGCTGCCTGCAATTACTGCAGGTTCGAATCTCGCCAAGGCTCAAGGTTGACTCAGCCTTCCATCCTTTCTAAGGTAGGTAAATTGAGGACCCAGTTTGTGGGGGCAATAAACTGACTTTGTATAAATATACAAAAGGATGAAGGATATTGCTTAACGCATTGTAAGCCGCCCTGAGTCTCCGGAGAAGGGCGGCATATAAATCAAATTAAAAAAAAAACAAAAAACACTATCCCTCTGTTGTTGTTTTTTTCCCCATTACCTCCCCATTGTTGTGGCTCCGTTACCTGAGCCTGTGTCATCGGCAGGAGAGGACTCCGAGAGTGAAGGAGAGGAGTTGGCAAGGCCTCCCTCTCCAGGACCCTCCTCTCTGGCAATGTCTTCGGTGCCCGCCGAAGGGCAGGAGATAGGGCCGGGGCCAAGCATGTCCACGCAGCCACAGGGGGACAGTGATGAGAGTAATGAGTCTTGGCTGGATCCACGCCAGCGTCGCAGAGATAAGCGCGTGCAACAGAAGAAAAGGCGTGCCCGAGATTAGGCTGAGTCACTGGACCACACCCCACAGGGTATAAAAGGGAGCATGGTGGCCAGTCAAACCTTGTGACGAACAAAGCTGAAAGCTTCCATGTCATTCTGCATTGCCGGACTTTTGCTGTAAGACTTAGCTGGATTATCCCTGGACTTGATTACCTCCGTAATTATTGAGCTGTTTCTTTTGATGTATCAGAAGTGGGGAGAAGTTATCTCTCCTCTTTGTAAATAATAAACTCTTGGCAGGCAGCCACTAGGTTGTTGCCAAGTTCTGTTATCATAAGGAAAAGGATTTTGCCGGCTGGTTTGGTCTTTAACTCTTGAACGTCTGTTGGGGTGTGTGCGTGTGGTTGGGGACAGAACAATGGGCTAGATAGACAAATGGTCTGAAGCAACCTCAGCTTCAGCTTTATGAGCCGGGGTAGCATAGTGGTTAGAGTGCAGTACTGCAGGCTACTTTAGCTGATTGCTAGCTGCACTTCGGCAGTTCAAATCTCACCGGCTCAAGGTTGGCTCAGCCTTCCGTCCTTTTGAGGTGGGTAAAATGAGGACCCAGATTGTTGGGGGCAAGAAGCTGACTCTGTAAATCGCTTAGAGATAGCTGTAAAAGCACTATGAAGTGGTATATAAATCTAACTGCTATTGCTGTTGCTATGATGGCACCCATCTGTTTCAATAAAGGAGAATATTTGTAGCTCAGGGTTGACATTAGGGGTACTTGATGTTCTCTGAGCTTGGCTGTTTTCTTCCAGACATTTCATTACCCTAACTAAGTAACATCATCAGTGCTGGTCCTAGTTAGGGTAATGAAACGTCTACAAGAAAACCAGCAAGCTCAGAGAGCGCCAAGGATCCCTTCACCCATCTTTTGACCGGTTGTTTGATCTCCGCACACAAACCTTTGTCTCTTTTAAGAGCAGGATTGCTTGCAAACCACGAGCGGGATGAGCCGAAGGCCGCAGCGACGCAGAATTCTCCTCCGACCGATTTGCTGGGTGAGATTTGTGGAGCCGGTTTGCTTTTGCTTTGAAAGAGAGAGAGAGAAAGAGAGAGAGAGAGAAAAAAAAAAGAGAGAGAGAGAAAGATCAAAGTCTAATTAAGGATGAAGTAATCCACCAAATGGAGATTTGCTGGAGGTGCAGTTATTAAGCCCGGGGAACTTATTTTCTCAGAACTACGGAGAATCGATAAAAGCTGGAAGATGGAACTGTGGCGGCTCAGCGTTTCAGAAATGCAAATTCGACATGTCCCTTTCATAAGGCAGAAATAGCCGGGGATATTAACAAATTACTTGTTCAGCGACTTCGGCCGGATTGGCAAGAAGGGGCTTTGAAATGGTTCCTGGACTTAAGGGTGAGCAGAAGACCACCTACTACCTGAGTAGATCGTTCAGGGGATCGGCAGCGGATTGCAAAGAAATAAAGACGATTCATCGCCCTCTCCTCTCAAGACAGCACCTCTGAAACCAGTTTGGGGCTGTCAGGAATAAACATATAGAGCAGGGGTCTCCAAGCTTGGTAACTTTAAGCCTGGAGGACTTCAACTCCCAGAATTCCCCAGCCAGTTTTGCCGGCTGGGGAATTCTGGGAGTTGAAGTTCTCTAGGCTTAAAGTCCTGCAGGCTTAAAGCAAAGCTGGCTGGGGAATTCTGGGAGTTGAAGTCCTCCAGGCTTAAAGTCCTGCAGGGTTAAAGCAAAGCTGGCTGGGGAATTCTGGGAGTTGAAGTCCTCCAGGCTTAAAGCAAAGCTGGCTGGAGAATTCTGGGAGTTGAAGTCCTCCAGGCTTAAAGTCCTCCAGGCTTAAAGCAAAGCTGGCTGGAGAATTCTGGGACTTGAAGTCCTCCAGGCTTAAAGTCCTCCAGGCTTAAAGCAAAGCTGGCTGGAGAATTCTGGGAGTTGAAGTCCTCCAGGCTTAAAGGAAAGGTGGCTGGGGAATTCTGGGAGTTGAAGTCCAGGCTTAAAGTCCTCCAGACTTAAAGCAAAACTGGCTGGGGAATTCTGGGAGTTGAAGTCCTCCAGGCTTAAAGGAAAGGTGGCTGGGGAATTCTGGGAGTTGAAGTCCTCCAGGCTTAAATTCCTCCAGGCTTAAAGCAAAGGTGGCTGGGGAATTCTGGGAGTTGAAGTCCTCCAGGCTTAAAGTTGCCAAGGTTGGAGACCCCTGGCATAGAGGAGCTAGTCCTCGACTTACGACCACAATCAGAATTCCCCGTTGCTAAGCGAGGTGGTGTCGAAGTGAGTTAGACCGGATTTTACGTCAGGGGTTTTTGTTTTGTTTTTTGGCCAGGATTGTTAAGCGATTCAGCGCGGTTGTTAATTGAATCGCACGGTCGTTAAGTGAATTTGGCTCCCCCTTTCGAATTGGTTGGTTAGAAGTTGGATTCCGGGAGGCTGCAACTCTTGTAAATACATGCCGGTTGCCAAGGTGGCTTGAATTTGGTCACGGGGCCACACGGAGACGCTGCCACAGTCGTAAGGGTGAGGACTGGTTCGTAAGTCGCTTTTTTCCCCCCACACACGCCGTTGTAACTTTGAAAGGCTGCTAAAGAAACGGCTGTAAGGCGAGGACTTCCTGTACACAACCAGATCACGGGGATGGGATGAAAGCTATTAGGCTGCTCTTGTGTCAACGGATGACTTTGGGATTCTGCAGGGATGGCCATCAAAGGAACCGTGTTTAGATAATATTGGGAGCTCCGTATGAACTGAAGTAAACATACATTTCAGGAACTGTTTGAGGTCAGCTTGTACCAGATTCAGAGGAAAAGTTTATTTCCAAGCATTCCGTTCCCAAACTTTAATCATATTATTATTATTATTTGCAGGCATAGTTTTTTTTTTTTCCCCCCCCCTGTCATTACCGACATTGTTGATTCAGAGGCAAAGCAAATGATCAGCTTTTTTGTATACTGGGAGGAAGACAAGCCGAGTTAGACGAGCATGCAGAAATATGTATGGCAAATGGGAAGAGAAACGCAAGCATGCCTTAGCTTAGGGAGTGACACTTACATGCATATCTTAATGTAGAGTTACTATTAAGTACTTGGTGATATTCTCTCTCTCTCTCTCTTTCTCTCTCCATCCATCCTCCTCAATCCGTCCATCTGTTCATTCATCCCTCTATTCATCTCTCTCTCCGTATCTACATCTATCCACATCCATCCATCCATCCATCCCTCTAGCTATCTGTAGTCATTGACTTACAACCACAATTGTAAGTTTACAACCTCAAATTCCCAAAATGTGCTTAGGATAGTGTAGGGATACACACATAGTACCAGTCTACAACTCTTTAAGGCCTTTTCCTTTCCTTTCCTTTCCTTTCTTCTTTTCTTTTCCTTTCCTTTCCTTCCCTCTTCCTTCCCTTCCCTCTTCCTTTCCTTTTCTTCCCTCTTCCTTCCCTTCTCTCTTCCTTTCCTTTCTTTCCCTTCCCTCTTCCTTTCCTTTTCTTCCCTCTTCCTTCCCTTTCTCCTTTCCCTTCCCTCCTTTCCTTTCTTCCCTTCCCTCTACCTTCCCTTTCTTCCCTTCCCTCTCCCTTCCCTTTCTTTCTTTTCTCCTTTCATTTCCTTTCCTTTCTTCTTTCTTCCCTCTTCCTTTCCTTCCCTCTTTCTTTTCTCTCTCCTTTCCGTTCCTTCCCTTCTCTCTCTCTTCCCTTTCTCCTTTCCTTCCTTCCCTTCCCTTTCCTCTTCCTTTCCTTTCCTCTTTCTTTTCCTTTTCTTTTCTTCTTTTCTTTCTTTTCTCATCCTATCCTATCCTACCCTACCCAACCCATTGTTTTTCAATTTCAACACCTTTGAGATCCATTGATTTCAGCCTCTAGAATCCCCTAGCCAGCCTGCTTAAGGACAGCTGAAGCAAAACTTAATTTCTGAAGACAAAACAGGGGCAATATTGGCTATTATAAGAAACGGGATGCCAGCCTCAAAACCTTCAGCCTGACCCAGCGGGATTCCCCTCGTGAGGCTTCTCTCCCAAAGACTGCGACGTGTCAAGGATATTTGCTTTCTCAATTAACATTGTGGAGCTGGAAAAGCGCAGAATTGCGAAGTCTTGGCAGGAGGTTCAGGAGAAAATATTATCGACCAAAGCAAGGGAAGTGGTGAATGGAATACAGGTAGTCCTCGACTTACGACCGGTTGTTTAGCAACCGTTCAGACGTATGACGGACACCCCCCACAAAGGTACGTATGACATGGTCTCAAAGTTCTGACACCCGTCCGCCCCCCAGGAAGTCACATGACTGCATTTTGGGCTTTTGGCAAAAGTTTGGATTTACAGCCATGGTCGTGTTTTACAATGTTTTCCCCAAAAATGGCATTTATTTCCAGTTTGGGGCATAACATAGTGAACAACCATAGCCGCAAAAAAAAAAAAAAAAAAAAAGTTTGCAAATTGGGTCAGTTACATGATGACCCGCTTAATGACCATCCTGACTTACAGCCACTATTATTACGGTTATAAGTCAAGGACTACCCATAGGCAGAAATTTTCAACAATGGATGAAGACAAGTTCCAGACGTAAAAACCCAGGTCATTCTACGAAATGTCCGTTTCAGTGAATTTTAAACACAGGTAGTCCTCGATTTACAACCATTCATTTACTGACCGTTCAAAACGACAATTGATTCCTATTTATGACCCTTGCAGCATCTTGGGGGGGGGGTCACGGAGGGAAGGGAAGGGAAGGGAAGGGAAGGGAAGGGAAGGGAAGGGAAGAGAAGAGAAGAGAAGAGAAGAGAAGAGAAGAGAAGAGAAGAGAAGAGAAGAGAAGAGAAGAGAAGAGAAAAACAGACTTGGAAGGAACCTTGGAGGTCATCTAGTCCAACCCCCCGCCCAAGCAGGAGGCCCTACACCATTTCTGACAGATGGCAGTCCAGACTTTTCTTGAAAGCCTCCAGTGATGAAGCTCCCACAACCTCCGAAGGCAACTTCTGTTCCATGGGATGATTGCTCTCACTGTCAGAAAATTCCTCCTTATTTCCAGGTTGAATCTCTCCTTGATGAGTTCCCACCCATTGCTTCTTGTCCTGCCTTCAGGTGCTTTGGAGAAGAGCTTGACCCCCTCTTCTTTGTGACAACTCCTAAGATATTGAAACACTGCTATCATGTCTCCCCTGGTCCTTCTTTTCATTAAACTAGACGTACCCAGTTCCTACAACCCTTCTTCCTATGTTTTAGCCTCCAGTTCCCTAATCCAGTGGTGAAATGTAAAATTTGTTACTACCGGTTCTGTGAGCGTGGCTTGGTGGTGGTGGGTTAATGTGACTGGATGGGCGTGGCCAACTTTTCTTTTTTTTACTTTTAAAAGCATTTTTTCTACAACCTTAAGCGGTTGCAGAAAAAAATGCTTTTAGAAGCCTCTGACGATCAGGCAACTCAGCTGGGATCGCCAGAGGCTTTTAAAGGCATTTTTTTCCCTACAACCTCTTTGGCCAAAGAGGTTGTAGAAAAAATGCTTTTAAAAGTTAAAAAAAAGCCTCTGATGATCGCGCAGCTCAGCTGGGCATTGGGAAGGCGCAGGGATTTTTGCTACCGGTTCTCCGAACCACCCGCCGCCATAGCTACTGGATCAGGCGATCCGGTCCGAACCGGGAGCATTTCACCCCTGCCCTAATCCTCTTTGTTGCTCTTCTCTGCACTCTTTCCAGAGTCTCCACATCTTTTTTACATCGTGGCGACCAAAACTGGATGCCGTATTCCAAGTGTGGCCTGACCAAGGCCTTATAAAGTATAAGTAAATATATAATACTTCACGTGATCTGGATTCTATCCCTCTGTTGATGCAGCCTAGAACGGTAACAGGGGTGGGTTCTACTTACCTTTACTACTGGTTTGCAACGTGCCTATGATTGCCTATGATGACGTCCGGGTCAGTGGGCAGAGCCTCCCACCGATTTTACTACCAGTTCTTGCGAACTGGTCCTGTCAGATGTAAATGCCTTATTCCCTAATGTGTAAATAATGTATATATGGGATATCAGGGGTTAACTTATTCTTTGACTCTTAATGTATTCATAATTCACCACTCC